CACCCCCGGGGGCCTGTCCCCACAGGACGCCCATCCCCTGCATCCCTGGGTGCCCGTGCCCATGGGACCCCCGTCCCCTCCATCCCTGGGTGCCCGTGCCCGTGGGACCCCCGTGCCCCCATCCGTGGGTACATACCCATCCCCTCAGGACCCCCGTCCCCTCCATCCCTGGGTGCCCGTGCCCGTGGGAGCCCCGTGCCCCCATCCGTGGGTACATACCCATCCCCTCAGGACCCCCGTCCCCTCCATCCCTGGGTGCCCGTGCCCGTGGGAGCCCCGTGCCCCCATCCGTGGGTACATACCCATCCCCTCAGGACCCCCGTCCCCTCCATCCCTGGGTGCCCGTGCCCGTGGGAGCCCCGTGCCCCCATCCGTGGGTACATACCCATCCCCTCAGGACCCCCGTCCCCTCCATCCCTGGGTGCCCGTGCCCGTGGGAGCCCCGTGCCCCCATCCGTGGGTACATACCCATCCCCTCAGGACCCCCGTCCCCTCCATCCCTGGGTGCCCGTGCCCGTGGGAGCCCCGTGCCCCCATCCGTGGGTACATACCCATCCCCTCAGGACCCCCGTCCCCTCCATCCCTGGGTGCCCGTGCCCGTGGGAGCCCCGTGCCCCCATCCGTGGGTACATACCCATCCCCTCAGGACCCCCGTCCCCTCCATCCCTGGGTGCCCGTGCCCGTGGGAGCCCCGTGCCCCCATCCGTGGGTACATACCCATCCCCTCAGGACCCCCGTCCCCTCCATCCCTGGGTGCCCGTGCCCGTGGGAGCCCCGTGCCCCCATCCGTGGGTACATACCCATCCCCTCAGGACCCCCGTCCCCTCCATCCCTGGGTGCCCGTGCCCGTGGGAGCCCCGTGCCCCCATCCGTGGGTACATACCCATCCCCTCAGGACCCCCGTCCCCTCCATCCCTGGGTGCCCGTGCCCGTGGGAGCCCCGTGCCCCCATCCGTGGGTACATACCCATCCCCTCAGGACCCCCGTCCCCTCCATCCCTGGGTGCCCGTGCCCGTGGGAGCCCCGTGCCCCCATCCGTGGGTACATACCCATCCCCTCAGGACCCCCGTCCCCTCCATCCCTGGGTGCCCGTGCCCGTGGGAGCCCCGTGCCCCCATCCGTGGGTACATACCCATCCCCTCAGGACCCCCGTCCCCTCCATCCCTGGGTGCCCGTGCCCGTGGGAGCCCCGTGCCCCCATCCGTGGGTACATACCCATCCCCTCAGGACCCCCGTCCCCTCCATCCCTGGGTGCCCGTGCCCGTGGGAGCCCCGTGCCCCCATCCGTGGGTACATACCCATCCCCTCAGGACCCCCGTCCCCTCCATCCCTGGGTGCCCGTGCCCGTGGGAGCCCCGTGCCCCCATCCGTGGGTACATACCCATCCCCTCAGGACCCCCGTCCCCTCCATCCCTGGGTGCCCGTGCCCGTGGGAGCCCCGTGCCCCCATCCGTGGGTACATACCCATCCCCTCAGGACCCCCGTCCCCTCCATCCCTGGGTGCCCGTGCCCGTGGGAGCCCCGTGCCCCCATCCGTGGGTACATACCCATCCCCTCAGGACCCCCGTCCCCTCCATCCCTGGGTGCCCGTGCCCGTGGGAGCCCCGTGCCCCCATCCGTGGGTACATACCCATCCCCTCAGGACCCCCGTCCCCTCCATCCCTGGGTGCCCGTGCCCGTGGGAGCCCCGTGCCCCCATCCGTGGGTACATACCCATCCCCTCAGGACCCCCGTCCCCTCCATCCCTGGGTGCCCGTGCCCGTGGGAGCCCCGTGCCCCCATCCGTGGGTACATACCCATCCCCTCAGGACCCCCGTCCCCTCCATCCCTGGGTGCCCGTGCCCGTGGGAGCCCCGTGCCCCCATCCGTGGGTACATACCCATCCCCTCAGGACCCCCGTCCCCTCCATCCCTGGGTGCCCGTGCCCGTGGGAGCCCCGTGCCCCCATCCGTGGGTACATACCCATCCCCTCAGGACCCCCGTCCCCTCCATCCCTGGGTGCCCGTGCCCGTGGGAGCCCCGTGCCCCCATCCGTGGGTACATACCCATCCCCTCAGGACCCCCGTCCCCTCCATCCCTGGGTGCCCGTGCCCGTGGGAGCCCCGTGCCCCCATCCGTGGGTACATACCCATCCCCTCAGGACCCCCGTCCCCTCCATCCCTGGGTGCCCGTGCCCGTGGGAGCCCCGTGCCCCCATCCGTGGGTACATACCCATCCCCTCAGGACCCCCGTCCCCTCCATCCCTGGGTGCCCGTGCCCGTGGGAGCCCCGTGCCCCCATCCGTGGGTACATACCCATCCCCTCAGGACCCCCGTCCCCTCCATCCCTGGGTGCCCGTGCCCGTGGGAGCCCCGTGCCCCCATCCGTGGGTACATACCCATCCCCTCAGGACCCCCGTCCCCTCCATCCCTGGGTGCCCGTGCCCGTGGGAGCCCCGTGCCCCCATCCGTGGGTACATACCCATCCCCTCAGGACCCCCGTCCCCTCCATCCCTGGGTGCCCGTGCCCGTGGGAGCCCCGTGCCCCCATCCGTGGGTACATACCCATCCCCTCAGGACCCCCGTCCCCTCCATCCCTGGGTGCCCGTGCCCGTGGGAGCCCCGTGCCCCCATCCGTGGGTACATACCCATCCCCTCAGGACCCCCGTCCCCTCCATCCCTGGGTGCCCGTGCCCGTGGGAGCCCCGTGCCCCCATCCGTGGGTACATACCCATCCCCTCAGGACCCCCGTCCCCTCCATCCCTGGGTGCCCGTGCCCGTGGGAGCCCCGTGCCCCCATCCGTGGGTACATACCCATCCCCTCAGGACCCCCGTCCCCTCCATCCCTGGGTGCCCGTGCCCGTGGGAGCCCCGTGCCCCCATCCGTGGGTACATACCCATCCCCTCAGGACCCCCGTCCCCTCCATCCCTGGGTGCCCGTGCCCGTGGGAGCCCCGTGCCCCCATCCGTGGGTACATACCCATCCCCTCAGGACCCCCGTCCCCTCCATCCCTGGGTGCCCGTGCCCGTGGGAGCCCCGTGCAAAGAGTGGGTGCCCGGAACAAACTGAGGGCTGAGTAGGGATCCCTGATTTTCCTGTTTGCTTTCCAGACCCGAATTAAGAGCTTTCCGCATCCAGGTGGATCGTTGGTATTTGAGCCGGCAGCCCACCATGTTTTCGGAGCAGGCGGCCCCCACGGCACAGGGCTTGCTGGCCCCCCCGTCAGCTGAAGCCTCCACCTTCGCCCGGGTGCCCGTTTCCACGTATGCAAACTGCTCGCAGCCCTTCAGGCTGGGCGAGCGCAGCTTCAATCGTCAGTACGCTCACATCTATGCCACTCGCCTCATCGAGATGAGGCGCATCCTTGAGGAGCGGGCTCGCCAGAAGTGGGGTGAGTCGCTGCCTGTGAATTAATCCCCCCTGGCAAGGGGCTGGGGGCCTCGGAGAGCAAAGCAGCATGGCTGAAGGGGTGCTTGCTCCCCTTCAAGTGCCCTTTTCACCTCACAGCAGCAGTGCTGCCTGCTGAGGTGTCTTAGGAGCTCTTTCAGCAGGTGTTAGTTGTCGGTTTTCAAACTTATGTACACATGATAAAGGGTGTTACTGGCCCCACGCAGATAACTTTTGTGGGGGAAGGGTGAGGGAAGGCTTTGTCTGCCATCCAATGTCCCATCTGGTCAGGTACTTGCTCTAGTTCTCCGTCACTGTTTCTCGAATCATCTTAAACATCAGCCGCGTGGGAAAACCACTTTGCTTGCCAAGTGGTGGCCGGGGCCTGGCAAATCTGCTGTTCTCTGTCGGGAATGAGAGTTACAGTGCAGGTTTGTTCTGGTAACGGATGTGCCGTTCGGCTCGCGGATGGACGTGCTGATCAGGAAGCAGGATGTCAGGATGGTGGGAGAGGGGCTTGTTTGCGCCTGGGGCAGTGGTTTCCTCGCTCTGCGGGGCTGTGGCGGTGGTTAACTGGTGGGATTCACATATGAGAGTTTCCATTCAAAGACCTAACGGCTGCAGAGCGCTCTGAGACGCCGCTCGCTGGCGCCGTTGGCGGGTAGCCTCTTCTTTACTCTGGATGAAGCAACTGCCTCCCCGTTGCCAGTACTCCAGTGGCTAAGCTTTCTGGCAGATCTTTGGCCAAAGCGGAGCTCCCCCCGTGGCTATGAGAGCATGGTAAAAAGCCTGTTATCAAATTTCACCCTCTCTGGCCAGCTGAGCTTTTTGCTTTGCCCTTCTATGGAGGTTTTTGGGTTGTTCGTTTGTTTTTCTTTCTCTCGTTGGACGTCTGGGCTATGTAGAGCCGAGGAGAAGCCAACCCTGTACTGGGGCTGTACCCATTCCAGGGCAGATGGTGTTCCTTGGCCAGCTGCTCTGCACCATAACCATAAATTTTGCTGAAAGTGAAGGGACTCGGCACTTTTGTTAAAGCTCTGCTTCCTGGAGTCGTGTGATGAGACGAGATTTCTGGGGCTTGTCTAATGGCCAGAAGCGCCTGCAGGAAAAGGCTGGAGAAAGCAGCCCTCCCCCGCTGAACACACACATTTTGGGGGTTAGAGCCAAGAATAAGAAACTAAAACTAGATTTTTTTCTGACTCTGGATGATTGCATTCTTTGGATTTGATGAAACCATACTTCTGGCTTCATCACTACTCTCATCCGAACTTGGGGTCCCTGCGAGCAGAAAGGGGTGTTTTCCACAGGGCAGAGATCACGTTCAGCGGTCACATGATTGGCGAAGGGAGACTTTGAGTGAAAAATCGCCCCGCTGCCTGCAGCGATCCACAAGGCTTTGCCAAAAAGGACAGCCCGGCTGAGGAGTTGGTGACGCGGAGGAAGCAGGCTTGGACAGTGTTATTCTGGGAGAGGAGCCCGGCCATTTGCAAAGCGCCAGCCCTGCGTGGCGTTGCATGGCTCCTCGGCCTTGGGAGGCTCCTGGGGCAGAGCTGTCTGCACGCAGCCGTTCCCCCTTCCTCCAGGGCTTGAGGCTCAGGCTGGATGGGCTTCACGGGCTGGTGTTAAACAGAGGGAAACAGAAGCGTTTCAGACATGTAGAAGATGGGGCTGAAGCATCTCCAGGTCCTCCCAGGCAAGATGAGACGTCTTGGGCTTGGATTGTGGCAAGGGAGATGCGTTTTTTGTTATCTGTGAATGCTCCCTGGCCGTGAGGGTGATGAAGCACTGGAGCCAATTGACTGGGGAGGGCGAAGGATCTCTGTCATAGGAGGCTTTTCCGATCGGAAGAAACTACCGCAGTGGGAAAGGAGGATGAGAGAGACGGTCCTGCTGAGAGGGAGGCACGGAGCAGTCTGTTGCTTGATGGCTGCAGTGCTCATTGCCTTTCCTGTGATACACGTTGGTTCCTGTCCCCAGCCATATCTCCAAAGGGATCTCCAATCTCAAAACTTGCCCTGAAGACAGGGATTTTCCTTTGCAGGGAATGAGGAAGCTCTCCCGTTTGGTCACTGCTCGCACGTGTGTGGTCTGGGCTCCTGCTGAGGCTCAGCTGCTTCCCGAGAGGTGTCCAGCCTGAGCGCAGGCTCCTGAGGCATCATTGGGGCCACGCTTTTTTTCAGTGGCCTTTTTACAGCCACTCTTCCACGCTTTGAGGAAGAGTGAGCAGGTGAGACTGCAGGAGGAGGGTCTTGTCCTGGCGGAGGCAGAGATCAAACTTGAGGGTGGTTAACGATTCCTTCTGCCTGTCAAACCGCTTCCTGGGCAGGGCCGGACCTGTGGGCCGGGTATGAGCTCTGCGCTGTGTCTTGGGTGGTGGTTGGGAGCCCCCCCAGACCTCAGCCTGATCTGCGTTTCCCCCTCAAACACAGAGGAAATGCCTGCAGGCAGCGCTGGCGCTCTGGTACGCTCCGTTGGCGCCATCTGTCCTACACATGTGGCTTCGGCTCCTTGCCTTGAGGTAAAGCAAGGGGGCGAGAGGCTTCGTAATGTTCCCCTGCTGCCTCTTGCTTGCCTCTGAGTTCAGGCCCTTTCGGTAGCTGCAGGCCAGCCTCGCGTCTTGCCTGCCCTTGCAGCCGGCCCCGAGGGATTCCCCGGGCGACTGAGCTGAGTTTCTCTCCCGCAGGGAGCGGCGTAGCGCTGAAGAAGCTCTGTGAGCTGCAGACGGGGGAGAAGTGCTGCGTGGTGGGGCTCTTCAAAGCGATGCAGCTGCAGCCCTCCATCCTGCGGGAGATCAGCGAGGAGGCAGCAGCAGGGCCTTTCCCTCCCGCAGGCCCCCAGCTTCGCGATGGGAGCATGGCTTTCCCCTCCTCCTCAGCACGGCTCAGGCCGCAGCTCTGGGGAATGTGCCAACATGCAGCTCCCCGGCCTCTCTGGGAGCTTCAGACCTCCAGCTTCCCTTGCGCTCACCGCAGCTGAGCAGGTGGGACCAGCCAAGGCTTTGATCTGCGAAGCCTGCGTAAAAACCTCTCTCTGCCCTGCTCTTCCTGGCAAGTCTGGGGCTATCTTAATGTCGCCTCTCTCTGCCAGCGTGTTTTATGCATCTGTTTGGTGTTGCTTTTCTTACCTTTTAAAGGTTTGACAAAATCCAGTGGGGTTGGCAGAGGTGGTTGTGAGCCAACGCTCCCTTCTGCTGGAGGGGGCTGAGAGGGAGCGAGGGAGGCCTGCCTTTCTGGGGAGGAGGACGAGAGGTTTCCCCTCCTGCCAGCTCACGTGGCAGTGCTCTCCCCGTGTGGTGCCCGTCTGCTCCAAGCCAGGCAGCCAGAAGCGATAAAGCCTTTTCCACCAGCTCCAGATGCACAGGGTCGTGGGGAGAGCGTTGCGAAGTTTGGAGCCCTGTTGTCAAGGAATAAAGTTAGCACCTTGCCCGCCAGGCACGGTTCAAACACAGCAAAGTGCTTGCCCAGGCAGTGATTGCAAACACGTTTTCTGAGGCAGGCCAGCGAACCGTCTCCCGCTGCCTGGCTGAGTAACTTCCTCCTTGGATGAGGAGCTGTGCTGTTGTGCTGTTGTTTGCTTCTCGCGGGCGCTGCAGGGAAGAACTAAGCGAAAACAGCTTGAGCGGGTGGCGTGCAGCTGGTGAACGGCCCCGAGAGCTGCCGGGACTCTGGAGTGCTGCCTTCAAAGAGGCAGCGGGGGCGGGGGCGGAGCCAGCGATGGGGGGCTGCTCTGGCATCTCTCATGAGTCACGCGCCCTCGCTCCGGTTTGCACAAGCGGAGTTTGGTGTCGGGGCGGGCCCTTCCGGGTAGCTCAGCCTCGCTGTCTCTTCTACCTCTGGCCGCGAGGCCCTCACAGCCTGCCCTGTCCCTCCAGCACAACCTTCTGCCTCAGCCCCCTCTGCCCAAATATATCCATCCCTCGGATGAGCTGATCCTGGAGGACGAGCTGCAACGGATCAAGCTGGATGGAGCCATTGAGGTGCAGAGGCTGGTGACAGGTAGGGGATGACGGTCCCGAGGTGGGAGTCGCTTCGTGGGACCTGCTGGGGAGGGTGCTGACTGCCGTGCTCTGCTGCAGGGACCATCCTTGCCGTGTACGGCTCTGAGCAGGAGGACGGCAAGTTCCTGGTGGATGAGTACTGCTTTGCTGACCTGCCCCAGCCACTGCCCTGGAGAGGCCCCAGCTCGGACAGGTGAGTCTGCACAGTGACAAGAGTGGGGTTGGCATTGTGTCCCCTGCCAGATTTGGGCTCCTGTTGCCAGTTCACCCCTGCCAGCTGCGCCTGCCTTTTGATTCCCCTGGGGTCCCTTAAGGTGGGCAGCAGCCCGGCATCGCCGTAAGGGTGGGGATTGGCACAGGCGGAGAGTGCCAGCAGCTGCCCGAGACTCTCTGCCTAGGTTTGTGCTACTGGTGTCAGGGCTGGGGCTGGGCGGCGGGAGCAGCGTGTCCCTGCTCAGCATGCAGCTGTTGGTGGACGTGGTGACGGGGCAGCTGGGAGCCGAGGGCGAGCAGAGCTGCGCGGCACAGATCTCCCGCGTCATCCTCGCTGGGAACCTGCTGAGCCAGAACACGCAGAACCGCGACACCATCAACAAGGTACGGCGGGGGAGGGAGGCGCGCCGCCCCCCCCCGCGGGGGG